GGTGGGATGGTGCAATGGGGGTCAGGATACCAAAATAAATAAAATTGCCTAAAGTGCTAATAGGGAGCTCAGGTGTATTGTCTATTAACTACTCTACCCCTCTGGCCTTTCAATGTGCTGTAAACAATCACCCGAAACGTCACCTATGACAGAATTTTGAGATTTAACGCAGTGATTTTGACGATTACGTTGAGGATTTTTTGTTCTGGTAATAGGATGGTAAGAGGTGTGTAGCGGTGGTCTGGTGGTCACGCAACGACTCGAGTTCAATTACCAACCGTGGCTAATTTCAGCGGCGAGTGATTTACTTAACTGGTTCTGCCTCCCACTACACCACACATTCACCAACCAGCACAACTAACCAGTGTGGTGAAGTGTGCTCGAATTTCCCCCATGACCAGCACAGCAATGCTTTTGACAAAAGGGCTATAAAACAAAGTTGTAAAAATGCAATGATGAAGCGATGCTGGCGGTTGCTTTCTTGCCCGACCGTTGTCCGCGCTTCCCGAGGTGCTCTCGTTAAAAGCTCTGCCCATCCTCGTTCGTGAGTTCTGCCTGCCCCGGGGTGTCCGCCGCTGACGCTCGGCCGCCGCTCTTGTCAGTTCCCCCCCCCTCTCCCCACTCCATCTGTGATCTGTGTTGCTCAGAAGCTGACCTCGGGAATCCTTTGCACAGCTGGGATCCAGCGCGATTGCTTTCTCACAATGGCCCAGTGTTGAAATCGGCACGAGATTCCTCTGTGATCCTTGCCGCCTGTTAAGCAGAACAAACCCTGCCCTGCAGTCAGACGTTGGCCTCCTTGCCCCGTTCTAGGTGGCGTTTGTTGTTCTTCTGCCGCGGGTTGCTTATGCAGGAGCGGCTCTCCCAGCCACCGCTAGAAACAATAGACAAGACGCTCCGTTGTTGAGAGCACTGCGCGTGCGCCTGTGCATATGTCTGCGTGCGCGTATTTGGGGAGCGGCAGTGTAAGCGGTTGAAGAGCTGCGCTACGAACCCGGCGACCAGAGTTCGATTCCTGCTCACGACCAACACCGCTGACGATTATCTGAAACGGTCCTGGGCCTCGCCTAGGTTGACTCGGCCTCAAATGAGTACCCGGTGCGGTATGTAAACTTCGCTACTGGGGAGACGAAGGCGGTCGGGCGTGCTGCTGGCCACCCACCCCCTCGTGTGCTGTGCCGGCCTTCATAGGTGCTCGCTAACAGCACTTGCCCCTACAGTCTGTTCAGGCTATACTGGGGGATCTTTGTCTTTGTGTGCACGCGTTCATATGCGCACATACGTGTGTGCTCAAACAGTCTGTTAAAGGCAACATGGAGGATCTCGGTCTTTATTGTATAACTGTGTGTGTGTGTGCCCATTCTTGCGTGCGTTGGCGTGTGTACGTGTGTGGTTTAGGAGAGCTGCCGTGTAGCCCTTAGCTGGCGGAGGTGTGGTTGGGGGTCGACGAGGGGGGTTCTGGTTGTAAAGGAGCCAGACCCCTGGTCTCAGGGGCAGCATCCTCTGCCAAGATTCGCGTTCTTGCACTGTACACTCAGGTTCAGCGAGCGCTACTCTACAAAAATTTGTCAAGTTTCCCTTCTGGGTAAAAAAAAAACTACGTGCATTGCAGAATGATGCAGTGCGCGATGTATTTTTTGTTTTAAAGTACCACATGAGCACGATCAGTGGAGCGTGCAGCCATTAACCCTCACCCCCCCCGTGGGTCAATGGATTATCGCGATTCAGGGGTTGCCATTTGATTCCCGCTTCGATTCTTTTGCATACCGTAGCTGTGAATGGTAGCATACGCTCCAGTGGCTGGCTGCAGGGGTTACCCGAGTCCATTGCATACAGCGTATTTAACATGTACAACTCTTTGTGTCAATACACTGCTGGATGAGCCCCCCCCCCCCCCACTGCATGGGTTACGTAGTTTACTTTACAAAACTTCGCCGTGCTGGTCAGTGAAGGCGGCGGTGGGGGGGGGGGGCGGAGCGCCTGTCAATGTTGGAGCTGAGTACTGTGCGATAATGGATTTTGCCGCACCGACCTCTGCTTACAACGCAGCCCCTCCGATTCCCTCGCATCTCTTGATTAGCATAGTCGGCTACGTACGGTGCGAAAGAAGTTCGATTCGATGTGTGTATTGGAAGCTCAAGAATAGATTATCAATCGACGATCCGACGCGTCGTTTACACCCCCCCCCACCTCCGCATACCGATAAACTCGCAGTTTAATCATCGTTGGCCGTCCAGACCATAAAGGGGCACTCGCACCGCCACCGCTAAATAAGGTGCCCTAATAGTTTGCAGATATATACAGAAACTAAATAGCTCGACACATTTCCCCCCAATTTAATTGCAAACCTTGCAGTCTCCTACGCCAACTGTGCCCGTAAAGGGGTCGTGTCTGCTTGCACCTCGGCGTCCGACGTGCGGTCACGCTGGCTGTGAAAACCCTGCAGAGCTGAACACCGCGTTTCCTGCACGCCCAGCCAGCATCGCCCTTTTCTTTTCGCTATAAAGTCTTGCCATCATGAAAACTTGAATCCTGTTATTCGGCTGATGGAAAGGGAGGGGGGCCGGAGGTGGGGGTGGGAGCAAGGGTGTTGTGCAGCGTGCAGGATGGGTTGCTGTGGGAGCAAAAGTGCTGAAAGGTTGAATTCTTGGACCATTATATTAAATACAAACGCTTAAGCTGCAACTAATATCAATTTGGCAGTTCTCCGAGGCCCATCGGAGAGGATGGAGGGGGGGATTTGCGAGTAATTGAAAACACAGCCCCGGTTCCCCACCTCTCTCCGGCAAAAGTTTATTCTGCAGCCGAGGGGGGGGGGGGAGGGGGGCGCTCCGTGGGCCCTGTGTGGGGAGAGCCGACGCCGCTGGCCTGACGGCGTTGTTTGCCAGGAGTGACGTGAAAATTTTGCTTTCATAAGGGAAGGGGAAGGAACTCTAAGAGGGGCAGAATCTGCTGCAATCGTCTCAAAATGTTGTTATTGCTGGTAATTTGGGGGGGCAGAGGTTTGGGGTGAAAACGCTTGACCTTGACGTCGTTATGTAGATGATGGGAGCTGGTCCCGCACTGTTGTGATTGTGGTGAGTTGCTGCCCATTATTATCTGTGTATGCAGGGGAGGCATGAGCACTGTACATGAAGAGGCTGTTGATGCCTTCGAATGGATGATCAAAACTAAATCAGAATCTTGATTTGCACTAGAGAAATCCGTTGAGCTACGAAGCTGTTTAGCACGTGCCGCTATGTTTCGTCGGTGGCTTTTTAAGCGCCATACGGCAGAGAGCGGCAGGAGCATTTTTTTTTATTTGAGAAAGGCTAAAGTTCTCGTGGGCTTGTACATTTATTTGTCTAGAACTTGCTCTAAAATGTGATTTCCTTTCGGACGTTCCTTTGTTTCCTCTCACGGCTTTGTTTGCCCGTTGTTATTGTTCGGCTCTAATACCTGTGAGAGTGGCGCCGATCGCCGGCGCTGAGAAGACACGGCGCGCATCCCGCGCGCGTGGAAAGGGGGTGGTGGGGGCGACCGGTGACGTCGGCGGGATGTTTGTCCGGAGGGGTAAAGCAAAAAGAAATATGAGGACAGATCGTTCAGTCGGGACATAACTAAATATGACTCAGAATGTCCCGTGACATCACGTGCTTTCAAGTTGACCCACCTTGTTGTATAATTTTAAAGGAATTGGAATTAAAAGCCGTTGGCGCAATCGTGAGTGTCAACCTTTTTAACTCGAGCACGTCATGATGCGCGGGAAAGATGTCGCCGCAAATACTGCAGCGCACACGCGCGCTCCCCCAAGGTGAAACGCGTGAAGGCTAAGCAGCATCTTGTGGTGGGTGTGGGAGTTGGGGGGGGGAGGGAGAAGGGATTCACATCAGGGCGCTAGTAGAAATCGATTTGCATGCAGCGGAATGATTGCCCACACTCCAATGGGCGTACGAGTTGCTCCGATGCAATTGCACTTGCAAGGCAGTTGTGATTTATGGAGCATTTAGGTGTGAACGCCTCGGAAGACACTGTACAAATAGGGGAAAGCGCACCCATCTGGAAATGATAATAATCATTTGCATTTGTAAGGCGCATTTCATCTAAAGAAAGGTTTTTTTTGGTTATTAAATAGGGTATCCAGATGTTTTATAGTCAAAGTGCATTTGAAGACGCTTCATAAAGAGGCAGTCATCGGCAGAAGAGGGTCCTTGAGCCTGAACACAAACAGGGGCCCTCAGGAGTGTGGATGGCATGAGGATAGAAGGAAGTTCCAGTGGGAGCAGCAGTAGCTGAGAGCAACCTCCCGCCAAGCGAAGGCACTCTTTCAGATTCGGCGATCGTCTCTTTGCGCCAGTCAAGGTGTTTGCCCAACTCTAAGGCACTGTTCTTCAGTGGCTGTTCTTCCACGCTGCATTTGGCAATACACCGGCCACCAGATATACAGTGTTAACCTCTGTTTGTGGATACTGTGTACTGGTACACAGACACTTTCCGTAATCGCACAAGTCTAAAGCATTTACCCCAATAATATGACTTGCCATAGGAAGGAATAAATGTCCGTTCCTGGTGTAAATCGCCAATGTGGATAAGCACCGTCTGATGCTTATCCGAGCCTGGGCGATGCTTGGATCATTTGACACCATCGCGAAATGATTTCTGTTTATCTCAGCGTAGCTGTCTGATATGTTTACAGGTCGTGCGGCGTGCTATTCGTCACGTCTGATGTTTCGCTCCACATACAGGGAGGAGCTCGTCAGGACATTATGCCGGACGACACGCGAGTCCAACCCTAACTTTATCGGAGAGTTGTGGCAGCGTAACCCACGAAAAATTACGCAGCGGTATCTCTCCGAAGCTGTTCTCATTTCCGAATGCGTTTTCTCTCCTCCCCACCCCCTTTTCCAACACTCACGCACGCACCCGCGTCTGTCTGCCCACCCACCTGCCCACCCACCCACCCACCCACCTGACGGCGACTTTACCCCCCTGTCCCGCCACGGGCCGAATCCGGGCAACAGCATCGACAAAATCTCTCAGGTGTCGTCGCCGGTGCTTGTGATCCACGGCACGGAGGACGAGGTGATCGACTTCTCGCACGGACTGGCCATGTACGAGCGCTGCCAGCGCGCCGTCGAGCCCCTCTGGGTGGAGGGCGCCGGCCACAACGACGTGGAGCTCTACGGCCAGTACCTGGAGCGCCTCAAGCGCTTTGTGACGCAGGAACTGCCGCAGAGGAGCGTGCCCTGACCCCCGAAGGTCGCGGCCACCGCCGCCGCCACCACCACCACCGCTGCCAACAAAACCACAAAACCTTTGAAGGTTCCAGAGGAAGAGGGACTGGCAACGTTGGACTGGTTGGTGTGTTACGAGTGGCAAGCGCGGGGAGCTTGGCGAAAGCGCACAACTTACAACCTTTCCAGTAATCATGTAAACAAAGGGCACTGACGAAAAGATAGTGGTTCACATTGCCACTTGTTTATAAGAGCATGACTGTTATTTTTGTGGGGTTTTTATTTTTCTGTTCTTTTCTCCTGTGGCCAGATCTCTCTCTTTTCCTTTGTGTGTTCTCCCTTCCTACCTCTCTCTCCTGTTTTTCGTTGTTGTCATTCCTGTGAAGCCGGCTGTGAAATGTTTATAGTCAAAACGGTGCGCAGTCGTCGCGTGGTCCTGTGTGTTCGAGCAGACACAAAACTATGCAGTAAAACTTGCTCTCGTTTCGGAGAGAGCGCGAGCTTAAGCAACTCGTCTCGCCTTGGGAAGTCTGGTCGCGCGGGAGAGGAGAGAGAGGAGAGGAAGAGAGAGGAGATGATGAGAGAGGAGAGGAAGGGATAGGAGAGAAGAGAGAGGAGAGAAGAGATGAGGAAAGTGGAGAGAGCCAAGAGGGAGAGAGAGAAGGGGGGATCTCAATATTTTGCGAGTTTGTACAAAAGTGTAGCGCAAGGCCTTATCAAACGAGCTGTGAAACGCTGTGACGCCTGATTTTTAGTGTTTTGCGGTTCGCCGACGGAGAAAGAGGGGGGGTGGTGGTGGGGGTGTGTGCGATTTCTCGTTATCGGTTGAATGTGTGTACAGGTTTAAAAACACAACGTCCGTGCCCTGCTGTCGAAAAACAAAAACCACACACACACAAGTTGCACAAGAAACACGAGCGAGAGAGAGACGCAAAAGCGAGTCGTTGAGGAATATCTCAGGTGCTGGAGCGTGGCGCACCCTTTTAAACCCCCCCCCCCCCCCTCACCTCGGTTCTGGTAGGGAAATTAACAACAAGCGCTGTCGACTGCAGAAACGGAAGACGCATTCAAATAGCCTGCTGCATTGAGACTTACGGTTTTTCTTGCAAGTGCGTAAATCAAGGAGGTGTCCGCCTACGGCATTTCATCTGCATGTAGAAGCGACAGCAGTGTAGGAAACAATTCACTTCTAATTGTTACATTTATTTAAGGAACGTTTCTTTTCTTTTGTGCCGTGGTTTATAAATCGCTAACAAGATATGTTGATGATCGTTGAAAGTATTTATCCGCCTGTGCTTTGACGATGCAAAAAAAAATATGCAACTGCTTCGGGAAAACAACATCGGGGGGGAGGGGGTGGGTGGAAGGAGGTTCGATTTCTCTCTCGAGCGTGCGAAACCGTGCAGTTTGAAAATTATTTTCGCTATTTCTCTCTTTTTGGTAGCTGTTTTTGTGCATGTTTAGCGACTTTAATAGAAAGAAAAAAAAACTAATCTCATCTCTTGGTGAACACACGGTTGCAGGAAGTCGATTGCAGGTACTCGTTAAAACTTCGTGAGAAAAACCAACGGACCTCTGCAATGTATGTTTAAATAAGCGGACCACGTGATTTTTTTTAAGTTGCGTATATTTTGAATGCCAATTGCTACTGCGTTTAAGTGTTGGGTTTTTTTTTACATTGTGTACTGTCGTGAAACATATTGAGCCTTTATCCCGTGGTGCTCATTGTGAACTTATTGGAAATGTTTTTTTTTTTCATAGTCTAAAGCGCTCGATGAAATATGGTTGGTTGTGTGTTTTTTTTTTACTTTTTTTTATTAATAATAAAGCATTTTGTTGTTGTTAGGAGATTTTAATGAATTTGACAGGTACTGGTGTGTAAAAGTCATGTGTATTAATTGGTGAGCTGTTAATCTTTGTGATGCTGATATTTCTGTTCTCCCCTTTATCCCTTTTTTTTGCTGATGCCCCGACTGTTTACATCCCTTTGCAGGCCTGCCGAGTGGCTTTATCCCAATAACGAATAAACAACGTTTGGCAGCTGTTTAAAAACAAAGTTATAACAACGCTAATAACCACAGCAACAAACAACGGGATATGAATGGATCTGTGCGGAGCTGCCTTAGAAGTTCCTGGTGGCACGGGCAGGGGAGGGGGGGGTGGCTGGAGGTCCGTGGCAGAATGCCACTTGGGGCCCTCTTTTGCAAGGCCCGTTGTGGGGCCCTCTTTTTGTGCGAGGCCTGGGGAAAATGCCCCCGCCAGCCGTCGCCACCCAATCTCTTCTAAACGTCCCTGGGTCTCTAATAATCGCCTAATAAAGAGGGACTCTCATTAGCTATCGCCCGCCTTAGGGTTGTTTGTACTCGGGGAAAAGGGCGGGCCGCAATGTAACCGAACGGACCAATTTTGGAGTGTGGCTCATCCCCCCCCCCCCATCCCCCGTGAGCGTGATTCGTGCCGTCCATGCCGTGTCATTGAAGGGTTTTAATGCTTTGGTGGAATTTCTCCTCGGGTTTTTTTCTTTCTGGGGGGCTGCGGTGGGGAGGGGAGGGGGGCAAACAATCCGCACCCCCCCCCCCCTTTACCCGTGCTTGGTTAGAGGTGGTGGAACCAAATGGCTGAACGCTTCTGAACGTGCGGGGCTCGAACTGGCACCGTCAGGACGTGTGCGGGGACGTGAAAAACGCGACCTTAACTTATTTTAAGAAGAAAATAATAATTCTTGAAAACAAAAATATATCACGATGACAGAATAACGGTACGCCACTTTTCCATTTTATTCTGAAACGTTTGGAAGAAAATCAACGGAGACGGAAACCGTTGGCTACGTAAAACGGGAGTTTCACAAGTACGAGTGAATAACACTAATCTTGGACGGCGATGCGATGTTGCCAGCGGCATCTTTTTTATATACGGACACGACGGTCGAAGGGGTACGTTTCGTTACTGATGCGCGGCACGCCAGAACCACGCGAAGCGAATGCTGTATGACCACGCCTCCACCTTTTAATGCTTTTTTTCTCAATTGTGAATGTTTGACTTTTATTATTAAAGGAGAACACTTTGGCAGAAGTAAATGTGATTGTTTGAGCGCGCCTTGTGTACAAACCGTGCATTCGGCCAAAGATTGCACATTTTGCGTGTGCGTGCGTAGACTCTGTTGACCGTTAGGACGATTTGTCGCTTACGAAATGTTGCCTGTTGTTGGGTGCACAATTTTTTTTCTTTATGGAATAAAAAAAATGGAACAAGAAAACGAAGGTGCCCGCGTTTGAATGATTTTCACTGCCGTTACGTAAAGTCCGTCGTCACGCCGGGTTACACGACTGCGGCCTTCCGTTATTGGTCAGCGAGTGAATTATTATTACGAATCTTTCTGTAAAACAAAATATTCGTCTGCTTGCGAAAAGTGACCCCGCCGCACCACCGAGTTATACCTGACACCGGCGGTGGCATTGAATTGCGATCGGTTGGATAAGAAACTCGGATTCAAATGTTCCATAATACAGGCTTTTTTTACGTGTGGATATTGCTCACGAAAGCCTACGTGTTAAAACAGATTCAAAATTAGTTTTACTCATGTTGAGGTTCTTTCGCACCGTACGTAGCCAACCGTTCCAATCGTTGGCGTTGTCGCCTCTGCTATTTCTCGTTTGTTATTTTCTGTTTGTACAGTTTTGGTTTGCTCCCTTGGGTCTAAATTTAACATTCGAACGTGATCCCCTTCTATTTCAAGTTGTGTCTGTCGTCAGAAGTGGAATGACAAGCAGCGTGTTGCTACATCAGAGGGCGCAGAAACCACCATTATCATCGCAGCAAATTATATTATTTGTTGCACATTTACAGTTATTTTAACCGTAACGCGTCGATACCGGCGACGTAGAATCCGCACCAAGTGATACTGCAGTCATGCCAGACAATAATAATGCCCCTTTATCCGCAAAATCCTTTAACGAGTCAACAATTTTAGGTTGAATCTCGCATCGAGATGTTTGGTCTATCATTTTTTGTTTTCTTCTTAGTGTTTTGGTTCGGGTCACAAACTCACGTAGGATTATTTTTGTTCCGTGTCAATAATGTCCGAGGCTCATAGAGCCAGACTAAAGCATGTCATCATTTTTGAAGTTCACTGTTGATTCTTGAAGATCCAAGCCATGCCACATTTAGGAGTTTTAGTGTTCGCTAGTATCTCCCGAGGTTCACAACCAAATTAAGACACCTTTTTTTAAATCCTTTATATTAAGTTCACTTGCTTGCTTGCGCGCTTACGACCGTGCAAATATTTCGGTCGTTTTTTAACCCACTTCCCGTAATCCAATCGAGCTGACAATTTCCACACAGACTCGTTGTGCGTGACAATTTATTTTCGTGAAAATTTTTTTCCATAACTTTACACTTTGTAGGGATTTTTTTTTTATATTTAATGACCAAGTGCTTAATGGTGGCAGGAAATCATCTGACCCATAGGTGGCAGCCATCTCAAGCCAGAGGACGAGAGGACTCTAGCCGCCACGCATATAAAGGATTTATAGTGAAAAACTTTGTTTTTACGGGTTAATTTTTGCATCATAAGAAGGGTCAGTGTTAATGCCCGAGGCTCGCCTATTCAGACTGTGGAGGAGTTCCTATCCCCGGGCAGTGTGCTCATGGCTAGCTCTGGTTTGGCGGCAGACTTTTTTTCCGTGAGCCAGTCGAGCGGGGTTTACTTTTTAATCGGCTGAATAACGCCATGTGGAAGGCATCTGGCTTGTCACGAATCTCCAGGTCTTCTTGACCCGAACTCCATTCCCTCTGTGTGTTTAGGAAAGATAGAGACCTCTACGACAGCAACTGTGTTGCCTTGAAACCTCGAGCATTCAGGCTGTACAAACGATCCAAGGCGTCCGCTTTGCCGAGTAGAATGTGCGACGTCGGCTCGAGAGGAGGTGGGGGACTGCATGTGGTACAGGAGCACTTTTTTTTTGCTGAGTGGACTTGCCGATGACCGGTAACAAAGCGGTGTCAAGATCAGCCTCTGTGGAGGAGGCTCGTGAAGAACGCTTACTGGGCAGTTGAAGGAAATCGCTCCCTCCAGAACAATGGGAGGGAGGGGGGAGGAGCGACACTCACGTCAAACGAGCAGGGAGCCGAGCGACTGAAGCACAGCGAGTTGGCGTAATTCGCACGGCCCTTACGGCAACATTTAAATCCGAGCCGTGGATTAAACGCATTCCTGCGGAGGGAGCTGGTAGGAACGTTGGGTTGCTCGGTCAATGGCCAGGGTCAACGGCGGCGTGGTGTATTCCGCAAATATGGCAGACTGAGGGCGGGCACAAGCCAGCGTGAGTAGGTTAAACGTTGCGTTTTATAAGGGCACCACGGGGTGACCAGCCCCTCCCAACACAGACCCACCCCTCCCTCCCCACCCAGCCTTCCCATTTTTTGATGCACGACGAACACAATAATCCCCTGTGGGCTGGTGTAACCAGGAGGTTCCTACCAGTATTACTCTATTATCCGGGTCTTTCAACCCCCCAATCAAACCCCCAACAGTGGGGTAGGGGGGGTAGGGAGGGGGTAGGGAATATTTTCCGGAGCTCAGCCCCGGACAGCCTCCGGCTAAATATCACGCTCTGATCTGGCCCATTGCCTTCCTCCACAATGCTCCGTGGAGTGGATGTCCGTATCTTGTTTGACACAGGCGTGCATTATTTGCTATCCCTCAAGTTACCGTGGTGCTGCTGTGGAGTCCAATTAACTAGCTGATTACACGCGTTAATTGTGCAGCCTCTTGGCATGTGTGAGAGTATTAAATCCTCCATTAGGTGCTCGCTAACATCACCTGCACCTAACAGTCCGGTTAGGGGGATTGTTGTTTTGATCTTTGTGCAACAACATTGGCGCTGTAAATGCAAAAGGTGTGGTAGTGGCCACGCTACCATCTCGTGTGCCGATTCGGCCTTAATAGGCGCTCGCTAACAGCGCTTAAGCTAAACTATATTATTTTATCTTCTTGGTTCTTTCGGTAAAGTTACGTAGAAGGGAAATAATAAATTAATAAAAATAAAACATTATAAAATACAATTCTCACGACGTTTCGGCCACAACGCAAGCAGCTGTCTTTCCGACAGACCTGTTCTTCACCTGAGGACGGCTGTTCTTCACTTGAGGACGGCTGTTCTTCACCTGGGGACGGCTGCTTGCATTGTGGCCGAAACGTCGTGAGAATTGTATTTTATTATTTCCCTTCTACGTGACTATACCGAAAGAACCAAGAAGATGAATCCCTGCAGTCACGAAAGCTTTAAATCGATATATTATTTTACTTTACCAGGTAAGGCCCACTGAGATATATAGCTCATTTTTCAGAAGCGACCAGGTCACGAATGATAGCTCAACGAAGTGGCTTATGACATGGACATTTATATCAGTCAAATACTCTTAACGCGTGTTTTGTAAATGTGGAGGGAAAAACCGGAGGACCCGGAGATAAATCCACTCGGCCACGGGGAGAGAGAGAGACACGCAAACTCCAAATATACACCAGGCGGGATAGGGTCGGGATCGAACTCACGACTTCCTGTATACCATGCGAGATAGTTAACATCTTACCACCGTGGTACCCCAACAGTCTGTACAACTATATGGGGGGGGGGAGATATTGTTATAATTTATATATATAATATATATATATAAATTGTGCTAACACATTCCTAGCTCCGACCGCGCTCCCCGCAGACTCCCAACCGCTCAGCCGTGTCCGTGACCCAACCACAACCCCCACGCATCACCACCACCACCACCGCCGCCACCTCCCGCACCCCCAACCCCCCTCCTCTCTTCGTCTCCCGCCTCCCTCCTCCCTCCCACCCGGGCTGAAGTTATCGCCGGTCGAGGAGCAAGGGAAGACGGAGGGGGGAGGGGGGGGGTGCTCGCGTCTTCTGAGCGCCGAGTGCATCGAGCGGCGCCAGGATGAGCGCTTCGGGGTCGTTCCGTCTCCTGGACGCGTCGCGACCCCCCCGTGACTCTTCCGCGCTCGTTCCGCTCGCGACGTCATAAATACCGCGGACGCGTCGTCTCGTCGTCGTCGTCGTCACTGTCATCGCGATCGTACCGAGGCGGGCGGGCGGGCGGGTGTATAAATGCGGAGCGCGGTCGAAAGGAAATCTGCGGAGAGAAGAGACAGCAGCCCTGTGCGGTTGAAGCCACCCGGCTTTATCCTCCCCTCCGCCGCGATCTCTTCCTCCTCCTCCTCCCTCTTGTGTTCCACCTCCTCCTTCTCCACCTCCCCTCGCTCCACCGCCCCCTCCCTCCCCCCGCGCCGGCTACCGTCAACTCACAAGCGTCGCGCGTCGGCCTCCGAACGCGTCGAGTCATCTTCTCCGAGCCGAGTCCTTTGAGAAGGTGAGCGCGAGATTCGCACCGCGAGATTCGCACAGCGTGCGCGATGATGACTATGGATGCGTGGCGCAAGCTGAGAAAGGCGCGGGGGGGGGGGGGGTCACAGCTGTCTGCTGTTGCTGTTGTTGCTGTTGTTGTTGTTGTAATCGTTGCTGCTGCTGCTGCTGTTGTTGTTGTCTCGATGAATGTGCGCGCGGTCACGTTGTTCCACCCGAACGAGAGACTCGATCAGTAACGAGCAGACGTCGCGTTCGTAGACATTACCATGATCGACGTCATTTGTAGCTGCAGTATTCGTAGCACACTCATCATCAGCAGCAGTCAACAGCAAAAAACATAAGCAGCAGCAGAAGTATCATCATTTCCATTATCAGCAACCGCTTCCAAAGCAAACGTCATCATCGGCAGCAGCATCGATATGATTATCACAATCAGCATTAGCAACATCCATAGCAAATAATCATCATCAGCAGCAACAGCAGTCGCGTTCTTAACACAATCACCAGCATCCCTACCATGAGCATCATCATCATCATTATGACTCGGACACTGAATTATCCGATCTTGTGTGTGATAGGTGGACGCACGTGCGTCCACGTGTGTGCGTGCGCATGCACGTGTGTACACGCGCGTGCATTTTCAAGCCGCCGTGTGCCTGTACAAGAACTGTCGTTCCCGAACCGGAACAATCATTGACCGCGTGTGCGTGCCCTTGCAATATTTGACTGTAAGCCTATTAAGTATTTATTAACGACCACGTGGCATCACCTTAATCTGCAATGTACATCAACAGCCCGTTTGTCAAGCCACTGCTGGATGTGTAACCTCCCGTGCGGGTTCAGTTGACCATATTTCACCACGCTGGTCAGTACGGGTTGGTGAAATCTGTGGGGGGGGGGGGGGGCGTGATGGGTAGCTTCTGAGCATGGAGATTGTTGTTTTGTCTTTGCGCATAAACATTGGCACTGGCAAGGCGAATTGTGTGGTAGTGGCCACGCTGACGTCTCGTGTGACGTTCTGGACGTTCGCTAACGACACTTCAACTATTTTCTTTTATTTGACCTAAGTAAGGCCCACTGAACTATATAGCTCTTGTTCAAAAGCGACCAGGCCACACGTTCTGAAAAATTCTACCCCCACTTAATACCCCCCCCCTTGCCCCCCCTTGCCCCCCTTTGCCCCCCCCCCCCCCACTGGGGGTGCTGGAGGTGGTGGTGATGCGTGGAGGTTGTGGCTCGGCCGCGTTCATGGTCATAATGATGATTGCCATCGTCGAGATCATCATTCGACGCCATGACAGGAATCCTAAGTAGCCACAGCCAAATTTGAAGCAGCAGCGGTCGGAATTCAACCAAAGCTGTCGATCGTGACCGCCTTGGCGAGGGGGCGGAAGCCTTCACCCAGCAGTGGATAGGCACGTACCTCCGTGTACAACATTGGCATGTATGGAGATCTGAGATGGAAAACCGAGTGAACCTCAAATGGAATAAATGACTTGCCGAATTGCGTCATTTTAGAATAATTCATGATGATCTTCTTGGTTCTTTCGGTAAAGTCACGTAGAATGGAAATAATAAAATAATAAAAATAAAACATTAAATAAATTCTCACGACGTTTATTATGTTTTATTTTTATTATTTTATTATTTCCATTCTACGTGACTTTACAGAAAGAACCAAGAAGATGAATCCCTGCAGTCACGAAAGCTTTAAATCGAAATTCATGATGATGATTGCCGTGGTATTGGGACATGATGCACCACCACACGCGCGTCACAACGGGAGGTGCGTGATGTAAGCACCGAGACAAATGTTCCCCTGCACCTCGGATTAGCACGGTTGGCCACGTACGGTGCGAAAGAAGTGCAACATACATACACACAGAGACTCACACAGAGACCCATATGCTCACGAAGAGACACACAAACTCACACAGAGACCCATAGACTCACACAGAGACCCACAGACTCACACAGACACCCACAGACTCATACAGAGACCCACAGACTCACACAGAGACCCACAGACTCACACAGAGACCCACACTCACACAGAGACCCACAGACTCATACAGAGACCCATAGACTCACACACACCCACAGACTCATACAGAGACCCATAGACTTATACTGACCAACAGACTCACACAGAGACCCATAGACCCACAGAGACCCACAGACTCACACAGAGACCCACAGATTCACACATGGACCATAGACTCAGCACAGAGACCCATAGACTCACACAGAGACCCACATACTCACACAGAGACCCATAGACTCACACAGAGACCCACAGACTCACACAGAGACCGACAGACTAACACAGAGACAATAGACTCACACAGAGACCCATAGACTCACACAGAAACCCATAGACACACAGAGACGCATAGACTCACACAGAGACCCATAGACTCACGCACACCCATAGACTCATACAGAGACCCACAGACTCACACAGAGACCCACATACTCACACAGAGACCTATAGACTTACACTGACCAACAGACTCACACAGAGACCCATAGACCCACAGAGACCCACAGACTCACACAGAGACCCACAGATTCACACAGAGACCATAGACTCACACAGAGACAGACACATAGACTCACACAGAGACTCACAGACTCACACAGAGGCCCATAGACTCACACAGAGACCCACAGACTCACACAGAGACCCGCAGACTAACACAGAGACCATATACTCACACAGAGACCCATAGACACACAGAGACGCATAGACTCACACAGAGACCCATAGACTCACAGACACCCACAGACTCATATAGAGACCCACAGACTCACACAGAGACCCACAGACTCACACAGAGACGCATAGACTCACACAGAGACCCATATACTTACACAGATACCCATAGACTTAGACTGACCAACAGACTAACACAGAGACCCACAGACTCACACAGAGACCCACAGATTCACACAGAGACCATAGACTCACACAGAGACCCACAGACTCACACAGAGACCCACAGATTCACACAGAGACACATAGACTCACACATAGACCCATAGACTCACACAGAGACACAACCAACAGACTAACACAGAGACCCATAGATTCACAGAGACCCACAGACTCACACAGAGACCCACAGATTCACACAGAGACACATAGACTCACACATAGACCCATAGACTCACACAGAGACACAACCAACAGACTAACACAGAGACCCATAGATTCACAGAGACCCACAGACTCACACAGAGACCCACAGATTCACACAGAGACACATAGACTCACACATAGACCCATAGACTCACACAGAGACACAACAGACTCACACAGAGGCCCACATAATCATACAGAGACCAATAGACTCATACAGAGACCCATAGACTCATACAGAGACCCATAGTTTGTTGTCCTTCCCATCATACCTCCGATGAGCACGATTGGCTACGTACGGTGCGAAAGAAGTTCAACAAACATCCAGCAGTGCATTGACCATGGCCGATGAGAATGGTCATGAACTATTCAGTACCAGCAATCCTCGGTCTCCCTTAAACACTTTGACTACTATCGTTTCAATGGGATCTCATCTACGAATTATAAATTGCCAGAATGAATAAAGGAATGAATTTATTGAATGAGATTCGTGCCACTGTGAATCTCTACGTGAAGGTTAAAGTCGCGGAATCGATTCGCACTGAGAATCGCGCACGTCGAATCGTGTACCGCTCACATACACGAGCACGTCATCCGTGTGAATCATTACACGGCCATTAATTAGCAAGCTGTGCAATTAACCTCACCTCACTGGCGTTGGGGTCAAGTGCGGAGCTCCCTGCGGACTCCGCACTCAATGTGGGGGGTGGGTGGCGGAGGGTTGATGGGGGAGGGGAGGGAGGGTGTGGGAGTGATGCACACTTTGGGGAGCGGTGGTGCAGCGGTTAGCGCGTTGCCATACGAAACCCGGCGATCCGAATGCCGTTTTACACTCAAGGTCAACACTGGTGGCGATTGATTTAACCCGTCCTGAGCCTCCGCTAGGTCGACTCAGCCTAAAATTATCTCAATAAGATTCGTGCTGCTGGCCGTCCCAACCGCCCTCCTCCACACCCGTCTCGTGTCACGTGCCGGCTTCGCAGGTGCTCGCTAACAGCACTTGACCCCGAACGTCTGCTAAGGCTATACGGGGGATCTTTGTCTTGTAATGGAGACGCGGGGAGAAGAGTGGCAACGGCAAGAGCGTGGCATGAAGCGAGCGCCGCGCGTGGGTTTGGAACTACCGTCAGGGGTCAAGGTTCGCCGCTATTTCGGATGAGTTATTGTTATTTTTGGGAGCGCCTATGACCAATCGCCCGGAATGTTCCCGGTTCTCGCCACACCTCGCCAGGCTCAGCAGGGGTTGAGCCTGGATAGTGTTTGGATGGAGCCGTCGGCAGTCGCGGAAATGAGCCGGAACGCCGTGGAGGAGGGGTGGGGGGAAGTGAAAATTTGAACTCATGTGGCTGCGTTCCTGAAGGAATAAAGGATTCATCTTTTGTTGTTGTTGTTGTAAATTTACTCGGCTCACAGACAGACCCCCGAGGATAACAAAGAAACCCACAGACACGCGCAGAGACCCACAGACACACACAAAGACCCACGCACAGAGACACACAGACACGCGCAGAGACTCACAGACACGCGCAGAGACCCACAGTCACACAGAGACCCACAGACACGCGCAGAGACCCACAGACACGCGCAGAGACCCACAGACACACACAGAGACCCACAGGCACGCGCAGAAACTCACAGACACGCACAGAGACCCACAGACACGCGCAGAGACCCACAGACACGCGCAGATACCCACAGACACGCGCAGAGACCCACAGACACACACAAAGACCCACGCACAGAGACACACAGACACGCGCAGAGACCCACAGACACGCGCAGAGACCCACAGTCACACAGAAACCCACAGACACGCACAGAGACCCACATACACACACGGAGACCCACAGACACACACGGAG